CAACATGATTCATAGTTCATGCAGCTCCCAACTCCGTTTATTGTGGCCTACATATGTTATTGCAGCTCACCACTACAATCTAAGTTACCAATTATGACCTACGTGGACTTCTGCAGCTCCCTACAATAGCCTTTGTGGCCAACTGACACTTCTGAAAAAACCGTCTACGACCAACTACTGCCACGACTTTAACTATGACTTTTACAATAAGCTGACGCTACAACCGCTGTCTATAACATTCGCAGTAGACTATGCCTTCATAGCAATTACTACGGGCTTCATAGCGTGTTACGACTATTATTCTTCAACTATCGTTGGACCTCAATATTGTAATTACATCTTCTCTAATCCAAGAGGAGAGTAGGCTTATGCATTTACAACTCCTTAGTGGATTACTTTGACTGGACCAAGGTCGGTGGTTTTTTCTCTTTCTCGCATTTCTCATATAAAAATCGTGGCGTCTTCTCCCACTAACTACCTTTTATCTGTGTGTGAGCTTGATCTAGTACTACGCCGAGAAATATAAAAGGATGCATTTAATTCTCATTGCCACGAAATAGAGTTTTCTTTTGTTCTATTTATTTCTCATTATCATGAATCTCTTAACTCACATCAACCTTCAATAAGCAACCCTAGAATATATAAGAGGATGCATTTTTGTCTAAAATAAAATTTTTGATATTTTTCCCCAAAACAATGAAAAGCTAGAATATTCTAGAAATTATGGCTATTATGAGGCATATAAAGTCAAATAAACAGATAGCTTTATTTTATCAATTACAGCTATCATGAGGCTTATAAAGTCAATTTTCCTTTTCAAAAGCACATTTTAAAGTTTGGACGGCCATCTTTTAGATTCTGCAGAGGTTTTCGGGACTTCGATAAATATTTCAAAATAAATTTAGTAAATAAATTTTAAAACTAAGCACAGTGCCTAAAGATTTGTACATTTAGCTCCGGCCCTCAAAATAAGACTTGTAAATGAGTCAAATATGAGTCACTAAACGAGAGCTCAACTCGTGAGATGCACGGTTTGTTCGAGCTCAACTCAAGCTCATATCTTGAGATTGAACTCGGCTTGTGACGCTATGCTCGGTTCAAGTTTGCTCGAAAGCTTAATTTTTCCCCTAGTTTTGATCATATATAAATTATGGAATAGTAAAAAATTTATTTATCACATGAAAATTAAAATTAATTGATGAATTAAATAGTATAATCGAGATCACTCGACGAGCTCTTAAGCCAAGTTAAGCTAAGCTCAAGCTGGAGCTCGCGTAATATACTAGCTCGAATATAAAGTCAAGCTCAAGCTCGCAGCTCGGCAAACTTGACTCATGAGCTCATTAACAAGCCAAATTTGAGCCTGACTGGAGCCAGATCTGATCACTTATCTCCCCTATCTCAAATATTTGATTGATTAGGGTGCATTTTAGAATAAATGAAAATAATAATTTAGAGCTGAATGACGCTGGAGCGTGATTAGGGCCGCGGAATGCCGCCGTACCAATTTATGAGGCCGCTCCAAAGTGGAAACAAGAACGCCGGCAATCACACGGCACGAGCAATATTGAAACATAGATCTGATAACTATATATAACTATATAACTATATATATATATATATATATATATATATAACTAATTTTTATGATAAGAAACACTTTTTACAAAAAAAAAAAAAAGAAATTTTTAAAATAGGAAGATCCGCTTCTGATAAAATAATCATAATTCTGTTTGCTTTTTAATTAAAAATCTTAATTTTAATTTGAAGTTTGCAGTTGGTGGAGCCTCAATGAAAGGTTCTGACTGTAGTAAGGCGGTAGATACCATCGCTACAACTCCATTTTCTCTCGTGTAGTAAGCTTGATTCGCCATTCTCTATTTCACTCTCTCTTCAAGTTCTCCCACCACAATGAGGCACCCTTCGCCAGCTTGATAGCAGCAAGCTTCACTTTTTTATCATTTGACAAATCCTTATATTAAAAAATTCTTTTGACTGTCTCCAGCCACTCTATAAAGTCATCCGGATTCATTGTCCTCTTGAAATCTAGTATATCCACTTTCACTCTTAAATCTCTGTATTCTCCAACAGACACTTCTTCTCTCAACCTCCGCTTATAAAGCATTGTGACGTCTTTTCCTCTGCTGATATCATCCTACGGAAGGGATTCAAGTGTTCATCTCTTTCTCTCTCTATCATATTCTCAAAACGAGATACAATTAGAACACCACTCGCCCTTAGATACAGTACTGAAAGTGAAAACTTGTAGGCATTGATGATTGTCTCAATAGAAAATCCACGCAGAAGTTATTTAAAACGGGAAACAAGACACTTATAGGTAATTTAGGCGACAATCCCACAGTAAGGAAGAACCAATCGACCCCTCAGAATCAATCGACCCCTCTGGTTCACTGGACTGAACCGGCACACGCAAGGCATGGCGAAACGACTCCCTTCGATTCTTCACTATCTCACAACCCATAGGAGTGGGAATTGCACATCCCGCATACACATGGGAGATGCCCTGGATCACTTGTTAAAAAGCTTATATGAGCTGAGAACTATGGTTGGAGAGAAGATGAGCAATTACTTGTACAAATACATCATAGTAATGGACTTTGGGAGCAATGACCAAATCAAATATTATCTTCTCCCGTATCCATCCAATTATAACTACAAAGCTAAGCAGTTTGCCAATCTCCTCATCAATACATACACAAGTTAATCAGTTTAACCTTATAAAAAACTACTTGGATTGGGAAGGCACTTCATAGCTTAAAAATCCTTGTTAGCAGTAGTCAGATACATATGAAGTACAGAAAACAAAACAACTTACCTTCATCAGATATTACAATCAGGAATGCACATTCGTGTCCAAACTCATAAGCGTTACAGAATCAACGGAAATGCACAAAAGGTTGTCATTGTCATATACAGAGAAGACATGAGAAAGGTGAGGCAGGAGGATTTGGAAGCCAGAGCCAGGCTACACTGCATCAAATAAACACATCCAGACTTGAACGACAAAACAGGCTTCGAATCCAGAAAGAAAAAGATGAAGTGATTTATCTCATGGGTAACATATGAACCTGTGACAAAATAAACTTCAATAGCTGAAGCGATGTTAAAAATTTTTGGGTGGATTGTACAAAACTGCATCTCGGTTCATTGTCACTGCAAATTAAACAAGCAAATAGAGAAATGATTTTACTTTGATAATGCAGGCAAACACCACAGGAATGGTAATAAGGGACTGAAAGAATGAAAAGAGTAAAAGAAGATTTCAGTACTAGCTTACATCCCCAATAACTCCAAGTCCTTCCTTCACACCGGCTTCCTTCCACAGCCCATAAGGTCCCATCCATGACCGAAACCGAAAGAAAGCTTCAAACTAGAGATAAGCCATTGAAAGCTGCCTCCTCACATATTCCTCTCCAAAACAATCTTCTAAACAGACGTGGAGAAAGAGCTTAAGGGAAATACCTTTTCCATCTTTCCTAACAAGTCATAGTTGTCTCCCTTCTCTTTTTTCTGTATCCTTCTAATTCTTCTTCTCCTCTTAAATACTCTTATCAGTTATCATATCTTAAACTCTTCACTTGATCTGACCTAACAAAACACAACTAGCCACCATAAATCAACAACATTAACCATCAAATTAATAATCAACATCGATCAATCCATGTTTGTCTTTCGCTTATTGGTTCCACCGGCCGCAAACTCCTTGCCTTCCCTTCCCAGTGCCAGCTCTGCTGGCCAGCAAAAGTGATACCTCACAGGCACCCATGATTCAGGACCTAGCAAGTCAGAGATGTTGAGATTTTTGAAATATCTGCATTAAACCACCATAGATGATATTTTTATGGACTTAACAGAGAAGAAGAAGAGAGAGGAATGACAAAATAAATTTACAGTCATATCGGCGGCAAATATTGGCGGCATTGATTATCACAGGTGATGCCAAATTAGTTCTAAATTACAGGAGAGGGTTTGGCGAGCAGAATAGAGAAAATTTCTGATGATGTAAACTTGATCAAGGTCGCTGGAGAGCATTCGCTAGCACAACAAACAGATTTCAGAGTTTGGGAAAAAACAAAACCCGGAAGCTGCTAGGAATCGGATCTTGCATGCTGGCAGGAGACAATGAGGAAGAGATTATGAAGGAATTTTTTCTTACTTGTGGATTCCATGAGCTGGAGGAGTTCAGAGAGAGTTGTAGCTACTATGTTGATTTGACTTTGGAAAGGAAATGGAGAAGAGCAGCACACCCAACTTCATCTTCGTCCTCCTGCACTTCTCAGGTCTACTACCTTAGGAGAAGATTTTACGAGAAAAGGCTTCTGCGAGAAATGATTTCACAAGAAGCTTTCGTGGGGTTGGAGTTGCAAAGACAGGGTAATCACGGGAGAGCACACATCTAGTATTCAACGTGTTTGAAATCCGCTCAAATCAAGTAAGTTTGAAAATCACTGAGAAAAATAGCTTTAATGGATTCGAAAATCGTGGAATATTGCAGTGCATTCAATATGCTTTCAGCCAAACAGAAGAAACAAAATACAAGTTTTCCAAATACAATACAATGAATATTGAACCAACCAAACAACCCCTTCGTAAATTTCAAAAGGTGCCCAAAAAAGTGCCAGTAAAATCTCATCTAAAGACAAACCATTAAACTGATCAGAATTTAAGAAAACAGCTTAAAATAACAAACTCATTCCAAGTTCAATTTGGCACTCTTAAGCAACAGAAAGATCAACCAGCAAATCAACCATTGCTTAGCTAGCGCTCCCCAAACCCAACACAGGTGCAAATTGTTGACTCCTCCGCAGCTGTTATATTGTGCCGAAGGGCAGAAACAATCCGTTTTCTTAATAGCAGGCAAAATTTCAAGTATTCATTAATATATTAATTAAATAATAAACAAATTTAATTATTATTATTATTAAATGAATATATATATATATATTCCAAAAAAAGAATCAATAAATAATAAAATAATATTATCAAATTTATGAAAGGTAAATATTAATAGATAAGAATGTAAAATTTTACAACACTACATATAGAAAAGTGGTTAAGTTGTGTAATTTTTTATGATGATTGGAAGAATCATAAATTGAGAGTGGGCAAATGCTCACCCCCTCACTATAAGGTGTTTCCACCCATGATTGACCCCCACATAGTTTCAAAAATCTAGACAAAGCTCAATATAAAACAAACAATTCTCTGTAGTAAATATCGGCCAAAAAATTATGGAGCATTCCAGTGGGAGCAGAGTGGCATTTCAACAGAAAATCTACAGCAAGCCAGCATCTTTGAGAGCTTTTTCAAAAGCTTCATCGCTTTGCCAATCTTCTACCTGGAAAGTGCAGCAGAAGTTGACAGCTAAGAAAAACATAGGTAAGTGCAGTTCAATGGTCACAAAGCGTGTCAAGAAACAAAAAATATTACCTCGGGTATAATGTGATTAAAATGGCGCTCAATCTTCTGTACAAGCATCCGATCCCTATCTGAGCACAGCAAGTTGAATGCAGCACCTGTTTCCCAACAATTTAAGATGTCACACTTTCTATAACAAACCAAAGCAAGACGACAACAAAAAACTTATATTGCCACGACAACAACAGATGAAACAATTATTCAAAAGAACAATGGAGTAAAGATGAAATAAGATAACGTAAAAATCTTAATGCTTTCAAACAAAAACCATATTGTCATGGCCTAAGAAGATCGATCATACAACATACTCCAAGTCCCAATTTTAATAGCTCAAAAAGAAAAAGGGGGAATTTTACATACATATCACACAATTCTTATGTTTTAGATATCTAACACCAAAAGTTTAATATTTACACCCATAACATCTTGGTGCCGTAAACATATTCATGAATTGGTGCATTTCACTTCTTAAAAGATAATGATTGTGATATTTTTTAGGTGGTGTTGAAGAATTGAGTGATATGCATGTAAATATGAATATTTAGGTGTTAGACATGTAAATACATAAAGATAAGAATTGTGCGGTATTTATGTAGATGCCCCGGGAAAATATAAGAGCAAAAGACACAAGAGAGCGAGAGCAGGACTGGAGGTCTAATAAAATTAGCGAGTGTGAGCAAGGAGAACCCAAGGTCAAGTAACTGATGCCTTTAGAGGCAGCAATGGCTTCGGCATGGACGTTTTAGGGAAAGAAAGGAGAACCCAAGGTCACGTAACTGATGCCTTTAGAGGCTTCAATGGCTTCGGCATGGACATTTGAGGGAAAGAAAGGAGAAGAAAAACTTGCCTTTCATTTTCTTTCCTCCCTCTTCCTCTCCTCTCATCATCATCAAATTCATCTTTATTGGGTAGATAATTTTCAAGACATGTAATTATTTACTTATGGTATTTCAAATGATATTTTGATATGCGGTAATTAGCCTTGCAAGTTATCTGTTGCACAAATTACCAGAGAACTCATATACATTAATCTTACTATAGAAATATATCCATTACTTATACAAACAATGAATTATATTTATAGGTAACTAAGGTTGATCATATTACAATCATTAATAATACTTTTATAATAATAAAAAAATCATATAATATGTGCTTTTGTGTATTATAATCTATTATTCGGTATTAAGCCCTATGCAATAATTGGCTAGAGCAGAAAACATACATACACATGTGTACAAAGAGAATGATATACGCCAGATGAATCCTTTATGAAGAATAAATGCAGTTTATGCATGCAAATAAATGTTTTAACATTTGAATGCAATTATCACCTGTTTACAAATAATTTTTTTATTTGATTTTATGAACCCTACCACATGATAATAAACATCATTGATGATTATGAGATCCAAAACTCTATCTTGTACATTAGACGTTATATGTTTAAATAAATAAATAACTATAGGGAAATTTACAGACGTAGCACACAATTCTTATGTTACATATCTCACTACTAAACTTTCATATTTGCATACAGAGCACTTTGGTACTTCAAAACTATGCATGAAAAGGTGTAATTCACGTGTTATTTTTATGCGATACTAAAGATTTGAGTGTTGCGTGTTTAAGTATGAAAGTTTATGTGGAGATCTCAAAATACATAAGAATTGTGTGATATGTATGTAAATGCAACAAATTTCTTATATGTTGCTCGTGATTAAAATTTGACTTACTGATTTTCTTAGCTTTAAATATCAAAATTCATAGGTCAAATTTTAATCATGAGAAATTAAAGGATATTTTGAGACAAATGAAAATTTTAAATGGCATAAGCTTCGTGATTAAGGAAGCTATGAGTTACAAATTTTACAGAAAAAATACTTTTTAAAAAGAATTTTATGTTGAAACGTCTAGAATGCAGAATCATAGGAGAACAGCAAGGAGAGATGAGCAGTTTTATGGCAAAGCCAAACCAAGAGTGGGACGAGTAAGCAAATATAGAATTAAATTAATAAGAAATAAATAAGGAATGTTTCGGGCTGCAGATCATACTTAATCATCAAACTTATACAATATTAAAAGGAATAAATATTAATAAATTAAATTGATATATTATGTGTTAAATTTAAAAAGACATACATGGATCATGTATATATCTTAAACTTACAAAAATACCTTAAACAAAATAAAATGTACAGAAATATTTACAAACAGTAAAACTAAAAAGCTAATATTTATATCAAATAACAAAATACATATGTTTCTCTACGACATATTACATATGATATTAACTTAACTTGCAAATTAATTTATATGTTAAATTGTCCACTATAAGTTTAATTTATTTAGTATTTTAATGAGCAATTAGTAATTTGTAATGTTAATCTATAATTTAATTAAATAAGTCATTTTCAAAGATAATTTCTAATAATTTTTTTAATATTTACTAATTTTGCAATAAGATTTTACTAATGATTAGTAAATTATTTTATTAAAGTTTTTTACTAATCATTTGTACCCTAAAAAATTATTATGAAATTAATAATTTAAGTTAATAACTTATAAATATTTTAAATATTAAATATTTTTAATTTTAAGCAGTGAACGATTAGCGATTCCATATAAATAAAAAATATTATTGAAAACATGATTTTAATGTGTCTTAATTATAAAATTATTGAAACACAAATTAAGTTTGAATTTTCAGAATAAAAATTAAAGTGAAGGAAAATGTATATTTTTTTTGCGTTTAAAAAAAACAAAAACAATAATGTGTCCTAATTGTGGTTATGCTCCATTTTAAATTTAATTTATTAGAAGCTCAACTACTTATTTATCCATTTAATATGCTCCCTTTTAAAATTTCACATTTATATTTTATTCAGTGAGACTTGATCCATAGAATTTGTTACCTGCGAATTCATATTTATTACTTTATGATTTTAGATTATCAGTCATGCATCATCTTAGATGAGTGTTTTTAGTATCCTTGAAAGATAATTCAGGTGGCATCATTAAGTTGAATTAATCAATAATTTATTCCTTCGCCAACTTATTGATTGAACTAAGTTTTAATCGTTTTGGTAGATGATTAGTAAGCACTAGTGAATTTAGATGCTCTTATGACCTTTTACCACAACAAATTATTTTTTAGATCCTTCTTTATTCTAAATAATTTATCAACAATTACTTTATAGCACAAAAATTGGCTCTATAAGAAATCTTACTGCATAGATCTAAATTTATTATTCTATTATAGCATAATTTTAAGCTAATATTCCATTAACATGTTCAAGCATTATTCCTCTATAAAAGCGCATCAATCCTAAATATCTCTTTTGCTCATAAATATTAGAAAAATACTTCTCTGTTCATTTGGCATTCTCTTGATCATTAATTAAGATTCATTGTAATGGTTTGTTATCAAACTACTCCAAAGGTTTGATGTGCATTTATCATTTGGACATTTTAGAAAGTTTCATAGACAAAACAAGATATCGTCATCATTGATTAGGAAAATTCCTAAAGAAAGCTAGCTACTTATTTCATAATTAACCATTTACACTTAAAAACTTCAGGCCTGAAATGTAAGTAGTCATAAATTTATGGACATTTTAACCCTACAAACAATAATATATAAAAGTTATTTTAAAAATAAAAACAGACGTACATCTTACTGCTAACAAATAACAAAATAAAAAATAAGGATAATTGCATAAATAAAATATCTAAATAATATTGCTATATTCATGTGTCGCCAAAAAACAACTACATGAAATGATGATTGAAAAAAAGATTAAATTGATAAACAGGATGACTTGTGACTGAGGACTCAATAGATGTTTCACACTACATCAACATTACATCAAAAAGACTACAGCAAATGTAAATAGAAGGTATTATCCTGACAACAGGGAGGTAGCATGGTGAAGCCTCACCTAAACTCAAAGTCTCAAACAGAGATTCTCTCAAGTACATCCAAGGAAGTTTGCTATAATGGATAAAGCTAGAAGGATTTTGCCATTAATCATTTTCAATGAGGCTAATTTAATGAACCACAGCCCAATGTAAGGAAAGGAAAAAGAAAAAAAAAACAACCACAACCTAATGTCATAATCTCTCCTTCACTCCGTCAACTAGCTTCATATCCATGGTTCCATCAATACTTCTACAGTCCTAAAGAAATGATAAAAATAGCTCTTTGATCTATAGTCAGAAAAATGAAAATCACTAAAACCAATTGAGTTTGTTACCAAAAGTAGAATATCAAACCCAACTTCCTAAATTGGGTATTTATAAAGGAACTACAATGGCAGTACCTTATCATACTCTCAGTCCATAAATAACGAAACTAATTGGAGCTGAATTCTTTCAAGCTAAAGAGAATTAATGTGAAGCTTAAAGTTACAGTAGTCAAATTAAAAAATTTTGCGTTGTATCCATATTTTTTAACTGATGCACATCTATATTTTATTTAACTGGCCTTATAGTGAGGTATTTCTAAAAGTTCTAATTTTAATTTAGTTAAGTTGCAACGATGCTCATTTCGGATTAAGAACCTTCAGCCAAAATCTATAGATTATAATGTATGATTCATTATAAACCTAATGTACTAGACATGCATTGTAATATTTGCACATCAAGAATAAAGGAAGAAGGTAGGCTTGACTTGAACTTAGGAACTTAGGAACTTAGGAATAACCGTTTGACGGCAACAAAATGAAATAATCAGTTAAAAAAATAAAAGGATATATTCAATTCACAGGATGCGAGCAAATAAGTTTCAAACAAGGCAACAGAACAAGCACTAATGAGGAAGCATGGTACAAAAATCACCTTTGCGACCAAATCTTCCAGTTCTGCCAATTCTATGCAAATAAACTTCGTGATCAGGCTCTGATGGGAAATCATGCTTAACAGGGAGATCAAAATTGATAACCAAATTAACCTGGAGTAGACAACAAGCCTCATAAAATAACCGTACAAAATTAACAAGATTGTTTTTAACAAGTGCATGAGATAGATACCTGTGACTGATCAAAACCTCGAGCAAGGAGATCTGTTGTAATAAGGACTTTTGTTATTCCATCTTTGAATTCCTTGATAATCTTGTCCCTATCTTCTTGCTTCAAGGCGCCTTGGACTGCCGTACACTCATAACCATCTTTAGATAATGTCTGATGTAACATTCTGGCACTATTCCTTGTTTGCACAAATATTATAGTTTGTCCCACCTTTTGCCCAAATTCAAAAATCTTATCTTTTATGACTTCAATTTTGGCGAGCTCATCAGGACAGTTAACCTTATATTGCTTCACTTTATCAAGTGTGAGTTCTTCTTTCTTGACAAAGATCTGATTTCCGTCCTTAACAACCCTTGATACAAATGCCTTGACAACATCATTAAATGTGGCAGAAAACAGTAGTACCTGATGAAGATTAGCAACAGAGGGACAAGAAATATTTAGTTCAGGCAAATAAGAAGCCAAAAGGGAACCAAAAGGCAAAAAGGGTTTAGAGTTTCATACTGCTCCTAAAAGGTGAGTAACATTTATTTATCGAAAATAGGTATACTTTTTTTCATTAGAGGCGTTATCCTTAATATTCATACCATGTTCTTGATGTTTTACAGGTCTCTAATCATGCATTTAATACACAATTACTGCTACATGTAGTAGATATTGTTTAATATTTATAATGGAGATATCATGGGGAATAGATATAAAAAAACCAAGAATAATAACTAATGAAAAATAGCTTAAAAAACTACAAAACAACGCTATTCAAATCCAACAAAAGTGCAATTTAAATTTCAACATATACTTAAATATCATATGAAATACTGTAGTTAAGAAATCTGCTCCTGTAATAACGGTCCACCAAATAACCTAATAAATAATATTAAATGGTTTTATAATGAATGACTATAACAACTCAAACTCAATAAATAACGCCTATTACAAAATTATGAACAATAATTCATCGAGGCATACATCATAAACAATAAAAGAAGCATGATTATACATTTATATATCGCTCATCAATCAATCATCATTTTCAATAATATTTAGATACATATGTATAATTATTTTAATAAAAAATCATGAAATTGAAAAAATAAACAACCCACAAAAATACAATGATTTTCAAAATATTCAAAACCCTGTAAGCTCGCTAGCCCGATTATTCAATATCTAAAAGGTTTTTACTAATTTACACACAATTACAACCAGACATACAATTTCTATAAGTTATAATAAATTTTTAATAAGCATTTCATAAATGATAAGATCAGTGATGAATCCATAATAACATGATTTATGGGGAAATATCTATTATTCAAATAAGCTGATGTGCATAAAAATGAAATTTTTTTATCAGAATCACATCTCAATATTTAGGAAATTATGTAACAATAAAACAAGAAAAGCAATCTATGCCACATGATATTTCCATTATGAAAATTAAATAAGATTTATTAAAACATATATTACAACAACAAAATATCAAATACAAGAAAGACAACCTACAAAATATTAAAGAATCTAGCACAAATATTAAGAATAATGTCCCAAAAAAAGGAATAAAAAATTTGCCTCAAACAAGCAATACAAAACTCCAACCTAAGTTGGTATCCAAATGACAAGATGAAATGGAACTCTATGTGAAGATCTTGATATGAACTCATGATTAATTTCACTAAAAAAAGACAGATAGGTACTGAAAATTAATAGTTAGCTAAAATAGATTTAACCTTGACAGTAAAAGTCAACTTAGATTAATCATCATTAATATGAAATTAAACATACATCTACAAACAAAATAAAAATTTCTCCCAATCTTAGTAATGTCAAAGTAAAAGAATGATTGCACGCATCTAATTAAAATTCAAAACTAATCTATAATAGTCTAAATGGTTGAAACAATAAAAAAAATCAAATATAAATTTATGAAAACTACTCTTTTTATTAACTCGAGTGAACAAAGAAGGCGCAAAGCCTAAAAAAATTGTGTAGTGAGAGGAGACAACAATGAAGAAGATGGAGAAAAAAAGAAAGTAGAAAAGAAGACTCATTATTCATATTTGCTAGGTCGAGAAAGAATACGAGGAGGCTCTCTAATGACAACAATGAAATATATACAAAGAAGAGAGAAGAAGTTTTTGGCAACTAATGAGAAAGATTGAGGAGGGCTTCAAGATGCCCGCCCTTTCATTTCGTTAAATCCAATTTAAGCTGATCAAGTAATGTGTGACTTCTATGATAATCACAGAAGTCGATACTGCCAATAGAGAGGATCACGTGGAGCAAGTTTGATTGAGGTTTTGTAGTTGCTTACACAAGAGAGTTCATCCGATTCCATAAAGGGTTTGGTTTGATTCAAGGCTAATAGCCCGATTTGGGATATTACATTCTAGTTATATTGCACAATTTTTTTAATGAATTTCAGTTGAGTACTAGTTTTGTTTTCTCCATCTTCATTATCGCTTTCCTGTTGTATCAAATCTTGGGTTGCTCTATCATATGGTCAAGCCATCCACATAAGTAAATAGGGAATTACTCTAGAGGACAAATTTACATGTCTAGTGTCACCACTAAACTAGAAGAGATTATCTCTCAAACAACCAATAGGTTGGAAAATAATCTTATTCTAATCACAATACACAAATTTAATGGCCAAAATCTTCTATAAAGGCAAAAATCAGTTATAATATTCATGCATGGTAACGGCAAAGATTAACACATATGCAAGCAAGAATTTGAGATCTGAAAGTAGTATGATAATGTCCTTATAAGCTTCTTCACTATTGAGATAAAAGAGAATTTCTTACTCAAATCTACTATCAATGGAATTTGGGTAGTTATCAAAAAAACGTACTCAAGTTATGAGACGATCTCAAACACTTTTTAGAAAATCATTTATAAACTACAATAAGGTGGCTTATCCCTCAATAATACTTCAACTCTCTCAAATGTCAACGACAACAAATACATCTTTTTGAAATCCATAACTGTTAATGCTATTATAATAAAGCACCATAAAAAATGATCATTGAAGGTAAATGGAAAGCTATTACTTGAGCAAGTTCCTAAATCCATTTATGAGGCCATCAGCATTCCAAAATGGAAAGTTGTTGTAGTTGAATAAATTCAAGTTCTTGAAAATAAAAATACTAGAAATCACTCATTTACCACCATGGAAAAAACTTGTCCTGTTTATGATCAAATATAAAGTAGGGGCGAGTCTAGAAAAATTTAAAGCCAATCTTTATTTCAAAAGAATACACCAAATCATAAGGCATAAACTTCCAAGAAATGTTTGCACCTATTGCCAAAATTAACCAAATTCTAGTACTTCTATCCCTTAGAAATCTTAAGTGGCCAATATATCAACTACATGCAAAAATATCTTTCTTAAAGGTGATAATAAAAATGAAAGTTCCATCCACAATTCCCTGCTAACAAAGTGTGCAAAGTCAAGAAATTCTTGTAAAGCTTAAAACAAACTCATCTATCTTAGCTTGATATTACTTCAGAATTTAAGAAATAATCGGTATAGTCAATGCCGAGCCGACAATAATTTGTTTATTACGAAAAATTCCAAAGAAAAACCAGATGACCTGATCATATATGTCGATGATGTTGTAATTACAAGAGATCTCAATGATAAGTTAGCAACCATCACACAACTTCTAGCATGAAACTTCAAAACCTTAAGAACTTCCTAAGAATGGAGATTGCTAGATCTCACATAGATAAATAGATCAATATCCCACATCATAAGTGTATTCTTGATCTCTTAAAAGAAAATATAATATTTGACGCAACCCAATACGTCCTCCCATGGATCCTAATGTAAAGCTAGGATTAAAAAAAATGCAACATTCATGTTAACAATAGTCTCAAAGACATGTTGGCAAACTCACCTGCTTCACTTGTACTAAACTTGATATTTCCTTCTTTAATATGTTGATCAAACAATTCATAAATCACCACACTACGATCACATGGATATTACCATGAGAAGCCAAAGATACCTATAAATGATTATTTAAAAAAAAAAAACACATGAATAAAATTTAAGTTTTCACAAACATAAATGGGGCAAGAAGAGTGACTGACTGCAAATCTATCTCAGGCAATTTGTGTCCGGGTGGAGTAACATAGTGACACCCTAATGAACCAATGCACTCGATGAAAATCTCGAATTCTATTCGATTAGGACTCGATCATGCTCGTTCAAATTAGTAAATAAACAAGCTTGAATAATTTTTAAAAGCTTAAAACTTAAATTAACTAAAAGTGAACATAATCGAACTTGTTCATTTATGTTCGCAAATAAACTAGATTGTTGTTCAATAAGTAACTTGCTAAATAGTCAATATTAAGCTCGATTATAACTCGTATAATATAAAATATATTACTTAGATAAAATTTAATTATCTAGAATTTATTTAATTATATATTTAATAGTAATATATTATTATATCAAAAATATTTTTAGATTAATTATTAATATATTTATTTTATTAATATATAATTATTAATTATATATTTATTTTATTAAAATTTCGATGTTAGATGTGAAAATACATAAGACATGTTTGTATGAAATGCCCCTTAAAATTAACTTTAAACTCCTGTAAACCTCACTTTCCCTTTGGCCTCTTATAGTTTCATCTCTCTCTGTTTCACCTGAAACATATGAAATCCTGAGTCACTAGGGCGTGCAAGCAACAAAGGCAACAATGAGACTGCATCATGCAAGGATCTTTGAAACTCTGGTCTCTAGTATATCTCTCACTCTCTCATTTCCGCTCTACTCCTAAATCCTACCCTATTAACCCTTATATTTCTCATCCTTCCTCACAGCCCACTTTACGCGCTTCAACTTATTTAAACTTTATAAATCTTCTTTTGAATTTCATTTACTATATCCGAGAATTAAGACGAAAAGGAGGAGAAATGGGATTTAAGATCTTGTATGGTTTAAAGTTATTATTTTTGTTGTTTAGACGATAGTCAGGATTCAAGGCAAAATGGAGGAGAAACAGAATTTAAGATTCTCAAGGACTTTATTTTGTCATTTTTGTTCATTGGTAGGATTAAACTTAGGGTCTGTTTGGGGCAGCTGTAGCTTATCCAGCTTCTGCTGATAAGCAGCTTATCCTGATAATCTGCTGATGAGCAGCTGATCCGGATAAGCTGTCTGACTGTTTGGTTTGTGCATCTGTAAAACAAATGATTCTGGAAAATTGACCATTCTGCCCCTGTTCTGAATAAGCTGTTTAGCTGTTTGGTTAGTGCGTTTTGTAAACAACTTATTTGCTAATTTTTTTAGTTTTATAAATAATATGTGCAGCATAATTTGTTATTTTCTCAATAAAATTAAAGATCATTGTTAAGACAAGAAAATACAAAAAAGTGGAGTTACATTTATATAACTAAAATATGTCTGATCACATCAAACGAATATGTTACAAATACAAAAGTCAAATGCACCTGCACATACTACAGATCATAATTCTCTCATCTGCCCAAGCATAGCAGTCATATCTAGCATAGCAGCTATACACCAATATATAAAAATCTCATCTGCCCAAGCATATTTAGCAGTCATACATCGAGATAAAAAAGATCTAACACCTAAACTTCAGAGATAACAAAAATAAAAATTCCTTATTCAATATGTGAATACCCATGAACTGACTGGTATGTATTTACAACTTCCAAAAGGGAGATTTACATCCGTAGCACACAATTGTCACGTATTTACATATCTCACAACAAAATTTTATCGCTTTCGACAATCAAAGAACAGGTAAAAATGTATTTAATATGAGTTGCAAGTTCATCCACATTGCTTGATATAAAACCGATGGCATAGCAAACATTTCTTAACAAATTTTTTAAAATATTCAATCATATATTTCTTAACAAATTTTCATTCATCACAGTTTGTCATAACTTATTACTGTTTTAGGAAACCAAAAAGATCATTTGAAAATATACATTTCAGAAAATGATGTTTAATAGAATCCTCTTATCTAATGCATAAAAGACAACAAACGTCTAGATGGATAGACTAATGTCATTAGCTATTTGCTCTCTCAAATTTTCATTCATCCATACTTCCTGCTCCACAGAATGCTTCTTGAAATACTTCAACACATCCACAAACAAAGATTTGAATTTTCATCGTCTACATCATTAACCATTCTTCCTTTAAGAAAATTTATGATGAATCATGGATTATAAACAGAAAGAAGAGACTTTAAAGAAGTTCATTGTTTATTAAACTGTATTAGAGAAAAAAAAAAAAGAAAAAAAAGGAAACAACAACAACAACAACAAACAAATGAACATTAACAGTTCATATCTCAATTCAACACTCATACCAGCTGAACTCCAAATCCAAAGAAGACAACATAATCAAACGGCGTACAGATACAATGGCTTCTCAACCCACGCACCTGAAAAATGACCATTCTCACACACAAAAGCTCGGACAACCGGCTCCCCCTCATGAAGATCCAAACCTCTCCTCAGGCAAAACACAGAATGCAAATCCCAAGTCTCTTTTCCATCACAAAAGGCGCATTTCGCCTCAATCCTACTATTCTTAGCATCCCTCACCGTCCTCCACACTGAAGTCTCCTTAAAATTTCTGAACACACCTCTAAACAGCAAGTAATTCCGCCTGTTCTCCGCATGGACGCACGCCGGCCATTGCTTAAAGACAATCACCATGAAACCGGCTTGCAAGCAGCTTGCTACCTTCTTCCCTACTGAATACCCTTTGTGCCGTGGTGGAAGCCGTGGTGTAATGAGGATCCCAAATGGGACGACACCTAGACTTGCGATTAGGGTATTCATCGGCGTGGTAGAGGCCAGGACAACAGATACAGAGCTTGCGTAGGGCAGGAGAAGAGATCTCGAGCGAATTCGGGCAAAGAGGCAGGAGAGGGCTTCGAACGAAAGAGGAAAGTTAGGGATGCGGGAATGTTTCGCAAAGGCAGGGGAACGCGGATCACAGGGATAGACCCGAAGTCCGCATGTAATGTAAATTAGCAAACTCTGTTTCCATAAACCGCCTCAAACGTGCGAAACAAACGGTGAGGCAGTGTTTAAAAATGTCGCTGCACTTATAAGCTATCCCAAACGGGGCCTTAATGCTGCTTAATTCCTACTACCAAACAACCCCTAAATGAGGGATTTTTGGCAAAACATAGAAGAAACAAGATTTAAGTTCTTGTAGATTTCAAAGTTATCATTTTGTAGTTGTTTGGTAGGATTAAGGTTCAATCATGCATAAATACTACACAAATCATTCTACTAAACAACCCCTAAGGCAAAATGGAGGAGAAACAAGACTAAAGATAACGTAAGGTTTAGAGATTATAATCAATAAATTATTAGTTGAGATTAGATTTGTAAATTATTTATTAAATTTTTTATTCGAAAATCTAAATATTTGTTTGACTTTTTAGATCGTTTAAATACTCGTTCAATTGTCATAAACAAATTAAGTACAAATCAAGTTCAGACATTGAAAATTTTAAATAAGTCAAGCTTGTGAGTAATATATGAAAGCTCAATACAAATTGAAGTCGAACATAAATAATTTATAATTATATCAAGCCAAGTTAGAACTATGATATATTCGACACAACTTGGATTGATTATAGCCCTAATATGAAGTAACCTAGTAACCTCGAGAAGTAAATAACTTGTTGCCAAGAGCAATGCTAAAGTAGAATTTAGAGCAATATGTCACGGACAAATGTCCTGCATCGGCTAGGTGTAGGGCCGAAAAACAGTATTTAAGTCCTAGGCTACCCACCTCTCTTAAGGGCTCTTTTAGGAGGTGACAAGTGGTATCAGAGCAGATTACTGTCTGCCAGGTGTGTGGACTCTCCATGGTCAAATGAGACCCTCGGTGGAGCCGATCCGTGACGAGGGCGTCACATGATTGGGTGGAGGAGAATGTCACGGACAAATGTCCCAAATCGGCTAGGTGTATGGCTGAAAAGCAGCATTTAAGTCCTGGGTTACCCACCTCTCTTAAGGACTCTTTTGGGAGGTGACATATAGCACATAAGATTTGTCCAGAAATTTCTAAAAATTAGCACATTAAATTACTATGATACAACCACGATGCAACAAGATTGCAAAAAATTTCGTTTAACATGACAAAATTAAAGATGTGCATATTGATCATTAGTTTGTGAAGAAAAAAATTGAACATTGGATTATTTCTCTTATTTGCACAATGACCCATTTACAAATTGCAGACATCCTAATTAAAGCCCTCTCAAGAAGAAACTATAACAGCTTAATTAACAAAGCCGGCAGTGCTAACAGTTTGTTACTCAGGTTAAAGAGAGGATTGGAAATTATATTAAAATTTGGTACAAATCAAGGGGAATCAAACAACTGAAATCCAATCCAAATTTGGTGCTTACCATGGCCATTCAACCAGCATGGAAGGAGAGAGATTTTTTGTTGTCAGTTGTCCATATTTGGGCTCCAGTACTTCTTTATTTCAATTCTTGTTTGTTTATAAACAACTCACACCAATATTGTCTTAAATCCAATATTATATATTAGTTTATTTTTATTAAGGTTGTATAAGATTTATTTCTTTCACTGCTACTTCATAAAGTCTATTTATATTGTCCTTATTTTGAATAAATTTAAATAAGTATTATATTTGTTCTCCCTTAACCACTAAGAAGAAAAAAGGATTCTATAATGTTGTTTGTAGATACAACCTAGTCTATCATCAAGCAGTTACAAAATTATGCTTCTCAGGTTTTCTGGAAATAATTCAAAAGCCAAATTTTAGATGACTTTGGTGTGGCAATAGAAAAATTTCACACAATAAGGATAAAATCCTGAACTAGCTAGGCCATCTAAAAAACACAGTAATGCCAAACAGCAACAAAGAAAGTAATATTAGTTTGCTAAACTAAAAAATATATATCAATTTTAGATACAAAAAATGAAATCTAGGGATGGATGGACTTGCTCACAAGACCAAGTCAACTAGATCTACAAGTTGCAAGGAAAACAACTTCCATTGGCATATGAAGATTAAACATGGAAAGGAACACTATAGGAATAGCATACCTGGCAGCCCAGAGTGCTGCTGCTTTGTATCTCCTTCATAATCCTCAAAGAATCATCTCTAAAGCCATCCTACATCAAGTAAACTCATTTAGATACATGTAAATTAAAGAACTCATTTAACTTAAGCATAAATAAGTGAAATCTTACAAGAATGGCCGCAGTTCATAATAAGTTTTAATGAATTCCATCATCCATATTATCAAAAATAATTTCAAGAAATCATAAAACAAATAGCATGAGCTAAGAAGAAATAGAAAAAAAACAAGAACAAAATCAGTAATAGCAGCTTCCTTGTCAATTCCTTTGTCAGACCACGGCATTATTAATTATGCTTTGTAATGCAATGATATAGACAGTAGAAGTACAGAATAGAATGATGTGAATTGTATAAAATGGTTGTTTAAAACTAACACAATTAAAAAAAGATGGATTACACACACAAATCTTAATCTTTCATATTTATCTACCTAAACCCCAATACTTCATATCACATGCAACTCAATTTTTTAAATACTAAAATAACAACAACAAGAAACCTTTATCCCACTAAGTGGGGTCGGCAACATGAATCCTTACTCTTCATTATGTACTATTGAGTGTCATATTTTCATTTAATTCTAACAGATTAAGATTATTTTTGATACAATATGTCCAAGTCTTTTTAGGTCTACTTTTGTCTTTCTTAACATAAGTGGAATCTAAAACATTTGTTACCCTAACATGATCATCAAATGGTCAACATCTACTGTGACCAAACCATCTAAGATGACTCTCTCTAATCTTGCCTGCCATTGGAGCTACACCAACCCTATCATGGATATATTCATTTCGCATTTTGTCTCTAAGAGTCAAGCCACTCATCCACCTAAGCACTTTCATCTCAACAACACTTAATTTTGTTTTATGCTTCTCTTTTAAAGGCCAACATTCTGTGCAACTCAATTTCTTTTCAATAACACAAAAGTTATTATTTTTCCTAACCACCATTACTAGAGTTTATCACCACTCATTCTCTATTCTTCCACCATCTCTTCTCCACCACTGCTTCTTCTCATCCCATTCTCCACACTGAAGCTTAAATTAATGAACTAAAAAATAATTATCTCCCAACTTCTTGTCCTTCTTCCCCCAAGTTATGGGATCTTTGTATTTCTTTCTTTTCTGCTTGCAAGCTAGAATAAGGTGGTCAGATACAGAGAAGGATGCAATAGGTGCCACCAGCACCTTTGTACAAGTTTCTGTTTTTTCTAATTTTAAATTGCAAACTAAATCATTGTTCATCTTATTTACAAGAGCAGAAAGCGAGCTCATACAGTACCTCCAGCATAAAGTGCTGGCTTCAAATGATCGACAGAAATTAGTAAAATGACTCCCATAAGAAATAAGTAATATTTTTCTCCTGTAATAATTTTTAAATTGGCATGCAGCATGAAGTGTTAGACAAATCAAGCAATTATTTCTCACGAGTGTGGGTTGCTTTGGCTAGAGAAATTATTTACAGATTTCGTAACAATGGAGAGGATAAGTGATATTTTTATGTTAAAAAATCGAGTGGCATATTAGTAAAACATAATTGAAAATAATTAGTTTTTTATGTATGTAAAATCCCTTAAAATAGGCTGAATGCATCTGCTATCACTGATAAGCCAGAAAAAAAAAAGTTAAGTGTATAATTCCTTACAAAGTGCAGTTATGATTATACCACCTTTCACCTATAGGTTGCATAAGCTCTACAACATGCATTTCATAATTCTTAAAAATCAGTGTTCCAAGGCAAGTATTATGAATTCCTAGAAAGAAATATACCGATAAACATATAGGACCCCATTTTTTTATTTTTTTATTATTATTATTTTTTTTTTTTTGCTTCCTGCTTAATACTATTTAATACATCAAAAGCAGTTCTATAGCACTTATAGCATGAGTTTGCATATGCTTTTATCAACCTTATTATACTATTTCGGACATCAGAAGCAGTTTTTGAGGGGTTTTGTAAGGGTCAGCTGTTTCCATTAAAATCCTAGCTATATGAAGCCAAGGAAAATTTTCTTTGACATCATGAGCTACATTGGCTTCATACAAAAAATGCTATTCTTTTTTTTCTTTTTTTTTGGTTTTAAGATTAAAGGAAGGGGGGTAACTCTAATTATTATTTAATTAATTAGAGTAGTTTAAATAACTTAGTGAAGGTAATTATCATGCAATTATTAAATTCATAAGAATTCATTTATCATAAGAATTCCTATTAAATCCTGTATAAATCAACAAAAAAATAAATAGTTTAACTAATTAGGTACTAATTTATGATAAAGATAGTAAATAAATCAATATAATAGGGGATTAATTAGGCCAGTCTAATCATAATAAATTATTACAAACAAGCAAACAATTAATAAAGATACATGGTTAGGTATCAATATATTCTTATAGCACTAAATTAGCATGATCAATGAGATTAATATCATTAATTAATTAAAAATTAACATAAAAAGTATGTTTAACATTTAAACATTAGTTAGTTAACAAATCAACTATTTAATTAACCATTTCTCATTAGAATAAAATTATATTTATACTTACTAATTAGAATCATTTTGATCATTCAACCAACTCACATTGCATAGAAGCATTTACCAAATAGTCTTCCATGTATTTTTTTTGTTTTTTATTTTTTTTACTTGTAAACAGGATTAGCCAAACTATAACCAAACGAAAGAAAAAGCCTTATGAAAGCAAGATTAATCTCCAAAAAAATGAGTAATGCTCCACTATTTTGGTCTAGAAGTTTTAAATTTTAGTTCCTTAGAAAAGAAGAAAAAACCATCAAATAAAGACCAAGAGAAGATTTCATTTACAAAAAATAAAAGAAACACATCAAAAACATCATAAATTTAAAATGGAAGAAGTATCCTCATCCTATCGAGAAATTTTTTCTTACAAAATGCATTCAAAAGCTGTAAAAAGGGATATTTTCACCTATCAATGTAAGATCCTAAAACTTCAAAGCAGTATGTCCAACAAACCATCTTACAAACAAATAAACTAGTTCACTGGACCAGAGACAAAGTGGTCAAGAAGTAATGTTACAACAACCTCATCAAAGAGACAAAATGATGAACATGCTAATATGTCATGAGATGAAAAAAGGGATGAAATTGATACCTCAGCTAGCATGTGATCTGCCTCATCAAACACAAGAATCTTCATTTCTCTGGTGCTCAGTTTTCTAGCCGACGTCCACTTCTTGATGGTACCCGGAGTGCCAATAACCACCTGATCAGTCACAGGTGGCAATTTTGATATCGGAACATAATTAGCTGAATCAGCAATAGCCAGAAATGATGTTATGCCAGTGAACTTTCCCATCTTTAAAAGAACTGCTTGATTCTGCTCAGAAGTGCACAAATCAGAAAACTTGCAAATATGAATGAAAGACAAAAACAAAAATCAATTATTACAAAAAACCTGATGTGCCAATTCCCTCGTGGGACATATACACATAGCCTGAGGCAATTTTTTGTTGGGATCAACCCGGCTCAACATACCAAGCACAAAACACGTTGTCTTCCCCGAACCATTATGAGCCTGAGCAACTAAATCTTTATACGGTGGGGTGAGGATCATTGGAAGGCTTATGGCCTGTATCTTGCTAGGGCTCTGAAATCTCATCTCGGTATATATTCCCTTAAGCAATTCCTTGGACAGATTCAGATCTTCAAAACTTAAAGCTGATGAATAGACTGCATCCCCAGATGTAACCTGGAAGTATGCTTAAACCCTAGTAAGTTCGAATCAAACCACTAAATTCAAGCAATAAAAGAAGCTATATTGAGATCAGGGTTCGTCTTACAGCATTGATCTCTGAATCCTCCGGGTTGTCCAGGAGCCCATCGCCGTCATTCTTCTCGTCAACCTTCTCTTTGCCCTTATCGTCAGATATCGAGAGGGACTCGATCTTGTTGAGCTCCGACTGCTCCGCATCCTTGCTGCCACTGGGCGGCAGGCGGGAAGGGGAA